GGCCCCTTTTTGGCCCCCCCCCCCCCCCCCCACACACACACACACAGTTTGTGGCTCACATATGGGAGGTGCGCACCGGGCGGCGGCTGCGCACGTTTGACGGACCGCAGGAGGAGTATGCGGTGGGGGCGCTGGCGCGGCCAGACGGCGGCATGAAGTGGCCGGCCTTCCGGTGGGGCGGCGGCGGCGGCGGCGCGCCCACCTACCTCGCACACATGAAGCGAAATGCCATCAGGTGGGCCCCTGGGCTTGTGGGGCTCAGCCTGGGCGCGCTCTGCTCGGGGGTCCTTCAGACGCAAGGGGCCGGGGTGGGGCCCACTGCGCTGCGGCAGGTGTCTCCTGCTCCTGTGGCTGCGCTTGCTTCGCGCCACCTCGCCCAATGCCCGGGCTGTTCCGACCGTGCCGCACCGTCGCTGCGCCGCCCCTGTCCCGCATGTACCGCCCCGTACCGCAGCGTGTACGAGGCCCCCGAGATGGGCATGCTGGACAAGCGGTCGGTGAAGATGGAGGATGTGCAGGTGGGGCTGCCGCTGCGGCTGCCGCTGGCTGGTGGGGTGCTGCTGCCGCTGCGGCAGTGGCTGGTTCACATGCTGCCGCTACGGCCGCTGCTGGTGCTGCCGCTGCCGCTGCTGCTGTGTGCAGCGAGAATGCTGGTGCTGTGTGCCGCGAGTGTGGATGCGTGCTGCAGCCGCCGCTGCAGCAGCAGCAGCAGCCGCTGCTCAGCCGCTCCGCGTGGCCGGACCCTCACCCTGCAGCATCAGCCCCTCGTTGCCCCCGACTAAAGAGACCCGCCCTCTTTGCCTGGCTCCCTACCGCCCTGTCGCGACACCTCTTGGCCCGTCGCCTGTGCCCGTCACCTGGCTGCTCCCGCCTCTCTGCTGCCCCTCCTCCCCCCCCTATCACCTGGCTGCTCCCGCCTTCCTCCTGCCCCGCCTCCCCCTCCTGCCTGCCCTCAGGACTGGGAATGGTCCCCCTCCACCTCCGAGGCCGCGCTGTGCGCCTACCAGGCGGAGCAGGGCAACCTGCCCGCACGCGTCGTCATCATGCGCCTCCCCGAGAGGGAGGAGCTGCGCCAGAAGAACCTGTTCTCGGTGGCGGGTGAGGGATTGGGCGCCTCGGGGGCGTGGGCGTGTGGCAGCGGGTGTTGATGATGGCTGGCGTGGGGTAGGCAGCCTGCGCGGCGCAGGCGGCGCTGCAGCGTGGGTTGGTTTGCGTGCGGGGCAGCGACGTGGGCGGCAGCGAGCGTCCCGCCGTGCCGCCCTTGCCCGCCGCACCAGCTGCTCATGCGTGAGTGCCTCCTCCCCTCCCCCTCCCCCTCCCTGCGCCCTGCAGGCATCAAGCTGACGTGGCACCCTCAGGGCGACTACCTGGCTGTGCAGGTGGACAAGTGGACCAAGACCAAGAAGAGCACCAACACCAACTTCGAGCTCTTCTCCATGCGGTGAGCGGGCGGGCTGGCCCTGCCTGGGGGGTGGTACCCCGCGCTGCGCCTGCCTCACCGGCGAGCGGCACCAGCTGACGCACACCTGGTGGTTGGCGCGGCAAGCGGCCAGACAGGCCAGGGTAGCCACTGGGAGGTGCACGCCGAGGCGCCCGGGGCGCCGCCTGCCGGCCCGCCGACCGTACCGCTCGTACCGCCCTCCCGTACCGCAGCGAGAAGGACATCCCCATCGACATGCTGGAGCTGCCCAACAAGGGGGAGAAGATCCTGCAGTTTGCCTGGGAGCCGCGCGGCAGCCGCTTCGCCCTGCTGCACGGAGACGGCGGCCGGCCCTCGGGTGAGCGCCGCCGACGCCGACGCCTCTGCCGCTGCCGCGACTGGGCCCCCGCGCCGGTGGCCGACGCCGCCGGCCAGCATCGCGCCGCTCGGGTTCGCGGCGCCAGCGCCGCTGCCGCTGCGCCAGCAGTCCCTGCTGATTTTGGCGGCGTGCCCTCCACCCTTCAAGTCCCCCACC